CCTGAAACGATGAGCACACCGCTTACTGTGCTAGGTGTCTCACCAAATGCATGCAGCCTGTGCCACTTCCCATGCCCGGATGTGCCTAAGATGCAGGTACAGCAATGCCTGGCAGGCATATCATCAAGAGATGGCACAAGAATGGAAGCATGTAGGGACATATGTAGTAGATGTCCATCCTAAGTAAAAAACAAAAAATTAATCTCTTTCACAATTTTCCACCTACACAAAAAAAGCTGCATGGATCAATACTACTTCAATACTGCTATCTCAAAGCATTCAGGAAATCCTGAATTTCCTCTGACTCACACATACTATTGCATGATATGAGATAAACGCCCTAAGTCAGAGGGACTGACACCAATCCACAACTCTCCTCATCCATCTCATCTCACTACAGTCATTGACTCCTCCTCACCCAAGCCCTAATCCTCAACAGCTGAGGCACTGAAGAGCATTACCCAAATTGGAAGAAACAGACAGAAAAGGAGATTTCAAGAGGCTGATTTCAGGGTCTTACATCATCCCTGGACAAGCCTCCTCCCTATCTTCAATTTGCAAAGGGCTGAGAAAAGTACCTTTCACAGGCCCCTTAAGCCTTTTAAAATCTTCCTTGGTGCCTAGCTAAACGTTGATATTATGAGTCCCAGTTACATACACAAATATTCTCACACATACTGTAAATGCTCCAATTCACTCTATATAATAGGCTGATCCTTGGAACACTATAAATTTATTTAAATTCCTTTATATGTGAGGATTAAAAATTATGACTGAAGACAGAAGGAGCTTTCCTTTGTTACAACATCAGAACAGAAGCAGCACAGTGTCCAAAGCTGTAGTAATATATGAGATTTTGGAGAAGTCAAACCTAATGACACTAGCCTTGCAAATGAAAACCTAGGATGGCACACATTGATTAAAAAAAAAAAAAAGGTAAAACCCAATGTAAACAAAGATGTAGGTCAATCAGGTGTTCACACCTACGCCAAAGCATATGGAAAAGTCCAAAAGCAACTTTAAAAATTTTCTTTTCCTAACCATACACAAGGAATATGGCCAAGGAACACAAGTATGAAAAGATGAGGAAAAGAGTGTGTATTTATATGAATACATTTCTATTAACTAGGACAAGAGTCTTTATATTTCAGGTATAAACACTATGAAGTCACAATATTGAAATTTTTTTTTTGCAATTATATATACTGCTTTGGAGGAGCAGTCCTTATTTTTAACTGGAATATTTATAGTTTTCCATTCTATCCTATCAAAAAAGGTGTCATTTCCAGCAAAAACTTTTCAAGAGAGAATAAAGATCCCTACTACTTCTTCACAGTCTCCTACTTACAGTTTTCAGATGTTGGCACTAACAAGCCTAACAACAGCATCATTTCTTCATCTGAACAATCTGGTATTGGCCTCCATTGGAACAAGGTTACTAAATTAGAGGAGTAATTCCTATGTTTTCACATCTGTTCCCCTTAAAAATTATGTATAATTCAGTACAGACTGTAAAATACCTTATGAAGTCTTCTCCCAATGCGTAAACATTTGCTGTCAACTGAAAAATGTTCTGCGATTGACATTGGGTTTATATTGGCTCCCTCTGCTGGCTAAAATGCACAAAGTGTAATTTAATTGAGATTTTTAAAAAAATCTTTTTCGTAAATTGTGGGAAGTACAGAATTGCACCAAAGACAATGGCATAGCACAGAAATAGTTTCGTTTATAATCCACCCAAGAAAGTTTGCCAGTTCAAACCTGACTATAGCAGTATTGATATTGCCAACCCAAAGGATTAAGAAAAGAAAAAAAATCATACACCATAGAAGGAAAAAATATCTATACACCTTTTAGAAGTAAACCAGGCATACTGGAGGAAGAGAATACAAAAGAAATACCATTTGGGGGTACTATTTAAGAAGAACAGTTCATTTAATGTCCAGAATTTTGAAGCAGATTTGGGAAGCTATTTTGGCATTGGTTTTAAATATTTCTGTTAGTTTCTAACTCTTCTATATATTATATTCAGGCAAGAATAACCTAAAACATTTTAAAATAAACTGAAAACATGTCTAAATATATTTTCAGATGCTCTTTGATAGCAGTCCAAGGACATTTTTAAAAAGTTTATGGGAAATTTCAGCAACAATTATTCTATCTTTTAGCAATGAGTGTTTGGAAGATGGGAACTTCTTTAGTACTTCCAACATCTGCACTCATACAAAGCTGCATAGACGCATCAGTTACCTGCCCATCTTTGAATCACAGATTACTTTTCTCTTACAAAAATAATCAACCAACCACCATGAAAAATAATACAACCAAAGGAGGAAATAGCTTGTAAGTATCTCGGAGTCAAACACTGTAAAAGTGCCAAACTATGGTTTGTTTTTCCAGCACTTACTTCCAATGTACTGATTTTAACTTTGATATGAAGAAGAATTATTCTAAAGGTTTCAGTCATAGGGAAGAATTTTTAACCTAGCCTTGACTACGGAATTTGGTATTTGTAAAGGAGAGACTTTTCCACATCATCTACATCTTTCTTATCCCGCCTAAAATTTCATCTGAGGATGAACTGACCTTTTTTGCCCCCTCCCAAACTGAGATGTCAAATTCCTCTAAATTCAAGTTCTTATAAAATCACTCTAGGTTTTGTTCTCACCTCCCCCAGTTTTGTGGTCACTTTCACTGAGAAGACGACAAATGATAGATGTATAAATCAAAAGAACAAAGCAGAGCAGTAAGCTGACTACAGCATATAAAATTATTATTGTATTGGCCATAGGATGAAATGTACCCAGGCCTTGTAGCTAACAGTTACAAAGATTTTTACCCTCCATACTGCGCAAATTTTCTCTCACCAAAGACTGTCTGGTTATGAATGAAGATAACAGGCCCTGACATTCACACATTCCTGCTCAGTGGCTTACAACTTAAACGTGGGTATAAATAAATGAATATAAAAATATTTCTCTCATGTAGTATTACCTCCATTTAGTCTTTGTTCTGCTCAGACAGTTCCTTCTGGAATTATTTAAATTTGGGTTATTTTGAACAGGCAACCAGAATACAAAACAAATAGTCCCCAGTGAAATTTCAGAATTACACATTCAATTTTTTCCACAAGGCTCTTGTGATGATGACTGTAAAAAGTTTTACGTATTGCAAGACTCTACCAGTATTTAATCTGCAACTGAAGAAAAAAAAAAGAATGGTTTAGATCACACTCAGGCTTAGAATTTATGCACGTTGTCCAATAAACAAGACTTCACACATTGTACACCATACCATTATTCTTTGTTCATCAGTAGAGAAAGCCAGCTGGACTTTCATTCTTTAGAGATACAAGCACATTTTCCAGCACAGAGCTAACTTCAAATTCATCAGCTATTAACATTCTCCAATAACATCTCAGTCATTTCCTTGGGGAAGAAGAAAGAAGAGACAAAGAAACAAGCAATCTACAGTGCAATGAATCAGACTGCTACACATCGTGTATTTCTAGATAGAATATGTCAGTGAACATTTTTGTAACTCTGTTCCCAATTACTAAAATCCTATCACTAATATTATCCCTATTATTAAATTTTTAGAGAAGAAAGAAACAGTCTGTCATTAGGACAAAAATTTCTTAAAGGGCATATTCATTAACAATAATTTCAATAATTAGATCAATCCCACCTAGGTTTGCAGAAATTCCATCCTGCAAGAGTGTCAATGTTATAATTTTGTGGAAGATAAAAATCTTTCCATCTGAATGGCTGAACTCCCACCCAAGTAAAAAAATTTATTATGAACATAAAACATTAAGTAATGGCATTTTCTTAATGTAGTATTATACATTTTTCTCTTGCATATACCCTGATTGTAGTTATAAACAGGCCTGCAGAATTTCCATTTCGAGGTTATCAAAGAAGCAGTTGCAAGCTATATTTGTCACCACATAGCTACAGGACAGTTGCAAAGGCAGGTATGTTTTTCAAGTGGAAGAAGCAGTGGCCACATGGGGTAGGAAACACCAGTGAGAAAAGCAGTGCTCTGTGATTACCCGAGTTTTCCCTCAGGCATCCAAACCCATCAGGCTTCCCTGCCAAGCTCCTGTCACCCACTGGCAACCACATTAAGAATGGTCTACATCTCAGTATTATTAGAATAAGCTAGTTTTAGTTATAGAAATGTGAATTTGGCATCATTGCTACAAGCATACACAAATTTACAAATCAATTACTATTTGGAAAACAAACTGGCTTATATTTACTGCTGATCAATGATACAGCAGAATACTTAATGACACCCAAGCATTTGCAGAACATGCAAGCTGTGCCAACAAAATATATAAACTCAAGAGTCTTGGACATCTACCTAGAGCTCTTTAGCTGATTCGTCTGGACTCTAATGAGTTTACTGTGTATGTATCACACACCCAAAACTATCAGCTGCAACAGATGAATCCTTCAATGCAGCTTTAGGATGAGATGAAGAACGGAACAATTCATTAAAAAAGACATTAATTTACAGAAGGTTAGAGCTATTAAAAGTAAAAAGATGACAGAATAGAAAGCGCATTCTGGATGTAGCTGCAACAACTCATATCCGTGATTCCTGCAAGTATTAATATTACAGACTTTTTGGTAAAATGACCTCACCAGAAGAAACTTGTGATAGAACTAAAATTGAATTGTTCAGATCATTAGCTGAACAAGCTTTTTCCTTTCAGACACTGTTTTATTTTGCTATCTTTCAAGACTATTGTCTTTCCATTTTTTTTCCACATTTTTCAGGGAAGTTTATCGTTGTTTTCAAATTCAACATTTTCTACCTATATTTTTCCCAAATTACACGTATTACTACATGATCAATCACTTGATTTTTATCAGTGTACAGCATAACACGTGTTGCTGTAACATGTTTATGTGACTCTACTTTGCTTACAGCAAATACAAGATCACACAACTTACGCAAAATCTCTTTCACTCCAACTACAGAATTCCTACCTCATGACAGGAGAAGAGCCGAACTCCTTCCATCTGATGGAAGACTGGGTAGTGGGTGTTATCAATTGTATCACGGCGGTAGACATCTCCCACTGCCAGAAAGGCATCTAGGCCAGAGTGTATCAAGTCCCACTGATGAGCTGATGTATGTGCTCTTAGCATGTGATCACGATTCAAATAGTAGTTATCCTCTTTCCTTCTGCTGGCATGGTTTTGTGGGATAAGCAAACTATCAAAATTCTGCTGTACTGTAACCACTGGAGAAAGACCATCATAGACAGAAAACAGGGGAGTCCCACGGCGTCCTATATATTGTTTGTAAAAGTGGTCCTTCACCTGCTCCTTGATTAGCCACAAAGGGTGATGCTTTGTGTTGTGCAAGTTCTTCCCGACCTTGGAAAGAATCTTCTCTGTGACATTGCTGTAGTCATCTTGAGGATAAGCTTTACCAAACAGTTCCACAGTATTTGAGCAGGGTGTGTTGGCAGAAAAATCTGAAGGTACAGTCTTGGATGAAGAATACCTTGAATGGGTGGGAATTCCTCTTACCTTCACTTTTGGTGATAAAGCTGTTTTAGAATACTTAGCTACTCTCATGAATTTCCAGAGCATTGCCATTGCAAACTCGTTTATGATCTAGAGAAAGACAAATTTAAAAAATTGAGTTAGGATCTGCAATCTTGCTGCAGGAGTTGCTAGTATCTCAGGGATAAGTGAAATCAAATGTCTGTTTGATTAATATGACAAAGTTTCTGTTATAAACCATTATTTTTATTTCAGAGGAGGGAAAATAAACTTGTGAGCAAATTTCAGGTAGGATAGCTCATTCAATTATCAGTCTTCTGCATCACTGCTTCAGTATTAATGACTCTAGAGCTAGCCTTAACCCCATTCCAGATACTGCTACTCTTTACAGCTGAATAATCAGGCCTTCTTTGAAACAGTATTTTTCAACTGGTTAAAATATGAGGCAATAACTGAATATTACTTATGAGAAACTCAGAAATTTAACAACGCCTTTCAGCAGTCAGGGCTTGCTTATAATAAAACCCCAAGCATTAACCTATTGTTGTATCATCTCCCCCGATTAGCAGAAGCTACAGAAGGCATTCCACATCAACTAGATGCATGTGACACACATTATGCAATAATCATTAATTCTTACTTAATGCCAAACAAAACCAGTTTAACCTTTCAAACCACTGAACAACTGTGAAAAAACAGATGGCCAGACCACAAGGCATATATTTATATATAAACAGCATATTAAGTTCAAATATGAGTATTGCACAAGAATCACAATAAAGGCTCCACATAGTCAAAAGCAACGCTAGCATTTTGGGGTGAGCACAAAAGCCCTTTTCCATATGTTCCCAGAATGGCCATTTTCACATCTTACATCACTGTACTGGACAAGGAGGCTTGCCCAGTATCAGGAAGGTGAATGAAGTGATGAGATTCTGAAAAATGTCTGCAGTGAACAACTCATTTCCTGTCAAAGGGCCATTTTTACACATCCACCCTGTTTACAAGCAGGCTTTGTGCTTCACATGTACACAGCTGCATTTTCTGGAGTGTTCAAAGACATAATTCTAAAAACAAAGAGTTTTAGGGATAACAGGCCCTTCAGTCATTCCAAATGCATAAACCCGTTCTGAGATGCAAAATCCCTAGAAAATACATAGTTGGGCTTCACAAATACTAGCATAGGTTCCAGTAAAATAATTAAGCACTACAATTGCTTATTACAGAATGGGAAAATAGAGGCATTAGAAGTTAAGTGACTGGGGAAAGGCATCTACCCCAAACAAACTGGTCTGTATTTCTCTATGAACCAAGAAATCCAGGGCCACAGGTTTTCTGCGTGAATGAACTTCCCATGAAAGTAATCTTAAATAAATGGGGGAACAAAGGACATAAGCAATGAATAGACCTCAGTCTTGAAGGCATAGCTTTCCATCTTTAAGCTAGGATTATGGCATCTGGTTAGCTTTGCATCAGAACATAAGGGAAACAAATATAAAAAAAGAACAAACAAGATAAGATTATTTTTCATACTCTTAAACTCCAAAAATATATATGCAAACAGAACAGACATTCTAGAATATGGAGTCCCCAAAAAAAGCAGATCTGTAAAAGATAATGGGTATGTTCATATTTGGCTTGCTTCCTTCTGACTTATGCCTCTACGGGTTCTGGCTTCTATTCTCTACAGGTCTATTTCCTGAAGTAACTGTATCTCAATATATCAAAATAAAGACAAGCTGGGTAGTCAGAAATTAAATTTGGCAGAGTAGCATAAGATTACTAAATATTTGGTTTAACCTTTTTTTCCTGGTCAAATATCTTAAGAAAAAAGAGTAGCTACAACTTTTACCTAGTTTGGAAACTTTTAAGGAAGAGTACTTTTTTTTTTTAAGGGTTTGAGAAATTACGTCAACAAATTAGGTCTTGGCCATTACTGATAAGTTTCTTTCATAAATGAATTCACACACACACACACCCCTCCCCACCAGAAACCCCTATGACATAGACTAAAGGAGGGATAGCCTTACATTTTGAAAAGAGGCTCCATTTCCCCAAACATACGTTCTCCTTCATGGAAAGTGAGTTCTCATTTTCAAACAGCTGCTTGAAATACCCAGTTCTAGTCAGATAATGAATTCAGCTTCCCTTAAGTAAATATCACCATCTGCCCAAACATTTATTTTTCAAAAAAAATTCAATTCAAAACTTACACATAACTGTAACATATGAAAAACTCTCGTGACTTTATCGTGAGTCTCGTGATGTTTGCTGCTTTCCTAAATACCGTTTGTCTGAGAATCAGACAACCATGTAAGAAGTTTAACTTTCACATAAACAGTTCTTCTTATGATTATAACCTTACGGAGAAAGAAATCAGAACATGAACCATAAGTGTTGGGGGACTCATGATTTTTAAGGGAGACTAACATATACATCTTTAAGGGCTTACTTGATGATTTTTCATTATTTATAAAGAGCAACACTGCTATCAGTTTCTGATAGTTTAGAAAAGCTAATTTGCTATTTTTTCTGAGAAAGTGATATATGCCCTTCACAAACTTGTACAAGAGAAAAATCTACAGATGAACTTGTATAAGAGTTTTCATCTTAACATTATGCTTGTGCCTTAAATAGCTAAATTGCATTACTATCTGCACTATTATTTTAATGTAAAGCAAAATCTACTGTAAGCAGTAAGAAAGGTTAGTTATCCAGTGTTCAAGTACAGCAAACAGCAGCAAACAACCAGTAAAGGAATCATCAACGTGGTATCACACAAGAGTGCCAGAAACACTGAAGTCCTTCACTGACACTCTTCTGCTCCCAATCTCCCACCACAGACTCATGTATGCTACTTCCAGGATCATTACAGAAAAATGATATTGGATTTAGTTCAACTCAGCTGGTGATAAATTACATTTGGTGAGAAAAGCTATAGAGAAGGAGGGAAAAAGCCACGTTGACACTCTTTATACCATACATTTGAAGAAACCTTCAAATCAAAGGAATGTTTAACAGGGTGGAGAACACTAGAAAATAAAGAAATCTCTTTACCTTTCTGCTAGGAATAAATAACTGATGCTAAAAATACACTAATTACTTATGTTCACTTGTAATAAATAGACAGGTATTTCTAGTAGACATCTATCTAAAGGTCTGAAAAAGCACAGTTTAAATTCGTCTTTTTCTTCCTTCATTTCCACCATGTTTATTATTTGGCAGTAAAATGAAACTGGTTTCTGTGCACGCTGACAAAACCTGAATCCCACAGCAGTGACTGCCAGCCAACTAACCGCAGCAAGCCAAATAGCAGCTGTAGGTCCTGTGGCTGAAAACAAATACATAAATGGGAAAAACATTGAACAACCACCACTCCCATCTATGATGCAAAGATGGCAAAGCACTCCACCAGCATAGTAGATGGTCACGTGCTCTGGGCTTGCCAGTGGCTCTGACTCACAGCTGGGAGTCGAGGCAGGTGTTTGGAAGCAGGCTGCCCACCAGCAGCAACCAGTGGGGCATCTCAAAGCACTGCAGGTGGGCGGGCAAGAACCAGGCTCGCCATCTCCTATTACACAGGTCCTTACCTTGTCAATGCCACTGCCACATTCCTGGGTACCTCAGCAGCTCCTCTGAAGAAGCTCCATGGGCCTCTCCCTGTACCTCAATCTCCATACTGAGATGTCTAATACAACTGCAGGAACTCTGATAGAGATGATATCATACATCATGTTTTGGCAGTACATTTGGAACCATGCCGGCATGAGGGTACGACCTTTTATGCAGATTCCAGGTAGACCAGAGGACAGGAGGTGGCACCCATGCCACCAGGGATGAAGGCATCAGAACAACCTGTCCGTGCTGTGGATAGACCAGGTACAGATGTGACTGCACTTGCCAATATCAGTTCTCTACCACAGACCCCGTGCCATTTCTACAGCAGTTTCAGTTGATGGGCATGGCTCCTTCATCCCCCACAGAAAACCAACCATCCCATGTGCAGCAGTACAGCAGACATTACACATGCAGAAGTACACCACAGTCAGGAGGCTTAACAACAGGGAAACAGCAGGAAGAATACCAAAAAAATACTGTGATTTTGGAGCACATGCAAAAGGCAGTTTGATGTGATAAGGGATCATATTGCTGTACTGTTAAGACATGTCCCTTCATGTCTAAATTCAGGTTTCCGTGTCATTGTGCAGCAAGGATTAAGACAGCATTATCACAGCTGCAGTGGTATTTGTCACAAGTCCTGTCTATTCCACTGAGGTTTAGGAAAGAATCGTAGACTCAGTGAAATTCCTTACTTCTGCCTTGAAAAAGAAAGAGAAAAGAAGGGTAGTTTAGCAGCTCACAATGAAAAGGCCTGCGCACCAGTGTTGTTTTATTCTCCCACCTCTCCTAGAAAAGTGGAAGAGAGAGAATGCTCTTGTTTGAGCAAACTAGAGCCCACCAGTGACCCAAACAGGCCTGCTTTCAGGGCCATTTGCTAGATATTCGTATCTGTGAGCCAAGGGCATCCTTACTCTTGCTGACCGCTTTTCTGTACACCCTGTGATTTTTACTGTTTATGGCTGCAGAAACACAGATGGGCTACTGCATACATAAACTGAAGTACATGATGGGTTTGAAACTAAAATTCTACAAAGATGAGAGTCTGTCTCCTATCCAAGAATAGCTAATTAATGCAAGACTCTGAAGTGCCATGGAAAATGTTAGAAAAGTTGGGCTGCCACCATTTTGTGATGTGACAGCTTTTATCTACCGTATGTGTGGGGAGGGGAGTTCAACCAACATAGCATATGTTAAAACAAAAATTATAAACATATGCTAGGCTGCTAAAATTGGACATTTACCAGTCTGCTTAGCAATTTAGCTAAGCATTGGATTTTAGTTTTGAAAACTATGTAGGCATACAGCAGCAAATATCATTGTATTGCCACGACCACATCTACACTGCATAGGATGTAAGAGAAATTATTTTGCACGCAATACTAATAACGAGCTCAGGGTTTTTTTAAGCTCATTTTAAAATGCAGATACATTGTTGTACACTAGAACAGACTTTCACTCTTACTGAGCATGCTGAATTTGTTATACACATA